GAGTGTCGGCGCGCGCGCCCCGGGCAGGACCCGTCAGCGCTGGGGGCCGTCTCCCCTCTCTCGGCGTTTCTGGGTCCCGGCTTTGGGAGACTGGGTTTGCTCCGACCTTTCTCCCCAAACTCCCCATCCTTCCCCGTCCTGGCCAGCCGTCAGCCAAGGGCTGGCCCCTGGGTCTTCCCTCTTCCCCAGGCACCCGCGCGCAGCTCTCCAAGCACCCAACGCCACGCGAAGATGCCCTTTCCTCCACACCTACCCAACACCCCCTCTCCCCGGCACCGTCTCTCCCCGAACACCTTTAGGAAGCCGGGTCCCCGAGTGCGCCTCGGACCCCTGGTCCAGCCCGGCGTGAACCCAGGCTGAGCCGTTGCGCCCCGCAAAGCCGCAGGTGGGGGGCTTTAAACCTGTTCAGCGAGCAGTGCTTGAATCTCGCCTTTGTGGCTCTTCTGAATTTTCTCAGTCCTCCTGCCTCTGCAGCGATTGTTTTTTCTCTGCCCAGCCCTCCCGCCTTCCATCCAGAAGCCTGCGCTCAGGTAATCCCTCCTGCTCTCCCCGCTGACCCTGAGCCCTGCTTTCCTCCGCCTCCTGGACCTAGACGACCTCACCCTCTCCCCTCGCTCCTTTTCCTTTCCTTCTGCCGCTCTAGGCATGGGCTTGGAGGTTCGCTCATCCTGGCCCCAGGCCTCCCAGCGACTAGTAACTGGGAGGCAGGTAGCAGGTCTGAAACCTTGCTCTCACCCAATGCCACCCTGGGGATCTCGGCACGTCAAACAGCCTCTGGCAAATGCAAAGCACCCAACTTCCTCAGAAACCTCCCCATAAAGCCAACTACAGCAACCCCAACATTTCCTGCGGGGGGTTGCTCAGAAGAAGCAGGGAAGGAAGGGAAGAGGGAGGGTGCAGGGAATCAGCTGGAGACAAGAGACAGGCCAACAGGGGCGCAGGCGTGGGGTCATTTTCCCTGGGGGCGGGGGGGGGGGGGGGGGCGGGGGCTGGTCATCACTAATGAGATTTAAGGATGGTGGTGGGGTGGTGCTGGTGGTGCTGGTGGTGATGATGGTGGTGATGGTGATGGTGATGGTGGTGGTGATGGTAATGGTGATGTGGTGATGGTGGTGATGGTGGTGGTGATTATGGTGGAGGTGATGGTGATGGTGGTGGTGGTGATGGTGATGGTGGTGGTGGTGATAGTGATGGTGGTGTTTTTATATGTTTGTTTCTATTTCCTTAGTTATCTGTGTAGAGAAGGAGAGGGTGTGTTGGAAAGATACTTGCTAATTCGTATACATCAGACAACTCTCAGGTTCTCTGTGTGAAGACAGGATGACTTCATGGAAAGGAATCAGGCTGGAACTGTCACTTCCTCCGCATTTCCGTGTTGTGGCCGCTTCTGTGAGAGAATCGGACAGCTCCTGGTTGCAGCAGAGTAGTTCGCATTGTCGCTGAGTCATTGCCCAAGGCTGGCAGCCTGGGTGAAAGCATTGTGGTCTCTGAGGGGCATGGGAACCCACAAGTCTGGTGTGGAGAGGAAAGGCTGGGATTAGCGAAGATGAAAAGCAAAACCAAAAACAACCAAGAAAGGACACTTGAGTGTTAAGGAAGCCAACCCTAGGACTGATGCTTAAAAAGGCTCCTGGGACCTTAGAGCTAGTGGCCAGCGTCCAGGCCAGCCACCATCTGGTGGCCTGGGAAGGTGAAATGAAACTTCCAGACTTCCAACCTCTTTTTGCTCATCCATATTTTTTTGTCCTAAAAAGGCTTTATTATTAGGTAACCCTTACAGGCCAAAAGGAGGACAAGAGAGTTAGCTGAGCAGCTAGAACCATGTTATTTCTGGTGCAAGCCAACCCTGATTGCCGTAGTTCCAGAGTGTATCTGCCTCCAGGGAGTTAGGGTGCCTGGCATTAATCACCCTTTGTGGTGGTGCTTGGGCATTCCTCACCCAAAAGCATACAGACCAGTGGCAACCTTAAATTTTCTTACTGCTCTCAGACACACTCTTTTTCCTTTTTCTCCCTTGGCTGGCTGTGCAGAGTTGAGGAAGAAAAAGGAAAGAGAAAGGAGAAGGAGAAACTCACATTTGGGTCTAAAATGACATTGTGGTTGAGCAAAAGTTACCTTTAGGTAGACATGCTCTCGGAGGGAATGTGAGCTTTCACAAGCAGGAATGATGTTCGGTTTTGAATGTAGCTTGCCAGTATCCTAAGTAAATGCCTGTGGTCTCTATCAGGGAGGAGGGAGTCTGAACACCTGTGCTCAGCTACAGAATGGCTTGACATTGTCACACTATTCCAGAAACTGAAATAAAGTTTAAGTATCTGTCCAGAGACACTAGTTCCTAGAAGTACTTAGCACTTTGTCTTAATGAGTCGTTTCCTGAGTTTGAGTAATCTTCAAGTTTTGAGTTCAAGAAAGTTATGTTTCAAACCTGCTATTTTAGTGGTATTTTTAAGTGAGACAAAGGCCTTTTTCCCCCCTGGCCATGGTTTTATTTTTTTCAAGTGCCTGTCTCTTGGCTATGCTGAGATCTCCACTATTATGATATGAACAGATAACAAAAGATGATGGGAGAAGAGGTGGAAGTGGGCATAGCATCCATGTTGCCATAGAGATGATTATTTGGTGGACAGGTGCCAGCTCACCAGTGAAATAGGACCCAGGGAATGTGTGTTTCCCTGTGATGTTATAGATGGTACCCTCTTCTTTTTTATTTATTTTTAAAAAATATATATTTTATTGATTATTTTTACAGAGAGGAAGGGAGAAGGATAGAGAGAAACATAGATGAGAGAAAAACATCGATCAGCTGCCTCCTGCACATCCCCTACTGGGGATGTGCCCACAACCAAGGTACATGCCCTTGACAGGAATCGAACCTGGGACCCTTCAGTCTGCAGGCCGATGCTCTATCCACTGAGCCAAACTGGTTAGGGCAGTACCCTCTTCTTCATGACCAGTCTGTGGATCTGGGAGTGGGAGACAGAACACTACCCACCTTCCAAATATGCAAACATTAAAAACTCAAGAAAAGGTCCCAAGGATCTACAGGATGTCTCCCAAAAATGTATACATACTTTAACAGCTGAGAGCTCAATTTTGAAAATAAAATGTATTTTAATAAACACTGCCTTTATAATTATTTAAAGCATGTGTATACATTTTTTGAGGGACATCCTATGTGTGAAATCCATCACGGATGGTTTTTAGAAAAGTCCACAAAATAATTCAGGCCTGACAAAAATGCAGTTCTTGTGGAAACATCTCCAGTCCCCCTCTGTCTCATGGGCAATAATGCCTTTCTCCTTTCCAGCACGCTAACAGGATGATAGGATGTGATGGAAGGCAAGAGGGACCGAGGGCATTACTGGGAGCATCAGATTCTAATCCTGCTTTTCCATCATCATGATTCAATTTTCTCCATGTACATAAAGCCAAATGCCTTGCTACTTCCTGGGAAGTTGTGCAACATAATCACTGTTCTGGCTAAATGCAAGGTTATTTAGTGGCTCTCTGGGCACCAGGTTGATCAAGCAGACAAGTGAGGAGCCGATCGCTCAGGATTCCTTTAGTGGGGACAGGGTCCTCAATAGGGAGGCCTGAAATTGTGTGACGTGTCTTAAGTGACTTGACAAGTGCTCACACTGCTGGGCAGTGAAACCTCAGTTGAAGGCTCCCCAGTACTCACAGAATTAATTTTCTGAGTCACAATATCCATCGTGATATATGGCTATATGATTCCTATTTTAAAGATAATATTAGAAAGCCTTTTGCTGACTTCATTCCTATCACAGACCCTAGAATGATTTCTCACTGCCTTATATTCTTAGGAAGTTCAAAGACTTTGAAGCAGTGTAGTATAGTAGAGTCTGGACTGTGAGCTGATTTTTTTTTTTATTGTTTAAAGTATTACAAATAGTAGTACATATGTCTCCTTTTGTGAGCTGATTTTAATCCTAGAATCTTTGCTTACCTGTGTGACCACTGGCAAGTCTCTTTTTCATCAGACTTACTACAGGGTGGATCACATGAAATGACCTGCAGTTAGACATCCTGTAAACAGCACACTGCAATACACAATGACGTCATAGTGAGGGCTCCTCTTGGTGAAGAGAGACGCTGGGAAGAGGTTCTTTCTATTTTGTATGACTGAGGCCTGTCCAACATTATTCCCATGATGTTTGCTTTAAATACTTCTAATGTCAGTCAGCATTGGAGCCACAGAGAGCTCTTACCTGTGACCTTTAAATCAAAAGCACGATAGTTTTATTAATATTAGACATTTGAAAATACTATATAAGCTGATCATAGAGAGATGGGAAAAATCGAATGACGAAAGTAAATAAGATAATGTGAGAATATTTAAGCAGTGGGCTAAAGTGCTCAGAATGCAGACCTTGAATTCCCTGCCTCCTTTGACCCCATGGCTGTCCCCACTTGCATTCATGAATTTCCATGGTTTTAGTGATTTGGCCTCCTGCACCGCAACTTTTGTTAATTTACACGGCACGTGTACATCCCTGGAGCCTTTGATAGACCACGTTAGACCACGTTAGACATCCAAGAGAAAATCCTGCATTATGTGGCTGGGAAGTGTTGGTCAGAACTTGTTTTCAACCAGTTTTTCATTACATGCTTTACAAACTGTAATTTCTAGGTGACGCTTCCTAGATTCAATCTCAGCTAAGCTCTGAGAAAGTTTAAATGAAAAATTCCTTTGGTACATTTGTATTACAGATAAGAGATAAACAACACCCCCGCCCCTTTTTAAAAATCACACAAAGAAAAGCATCGAGACTTTTCTTCGCAGTAGCAATTTCAAATCGGCGGGGGAGGATGTTTCAATTCCACCATTCAGTTGGGAATGGAACTCAGCGCACACAGAATTGGTGGTAGAATTTTAGATATGGAAGGTTCCCTATATTTCATTTAGTCCAACCTGTTCATTTTATATTTGAGGAATTGAAGACTGGGGAGGCTAGATGACTTGGCAGAGGTCACCTAGCTCGTTAGCAGAGGGGCTGGGACCGTACCCTGGGTTCCAGAGCTGCAGGTCTGAATTCTGTCCAGTTCACTTCTCATTTTGAATAGAAAGCAAAACCAATCATCTATGAACTAACTCTAATAATAAAATGCTATTTATTCTGCATTTAAGAGCAAGAAGCACAAACATAATTGGGGTCCTTTTAAATTTCTCATTCATTCATTGCTCCAGGTTAAATTTGTGGCATTCGGTGTTTGTTTTTGTCTTTTACAGGGCACCTAATGGGGAAAAAGAGCACAGGAGAGTCCCCATATGTTTACGAGGGAGGGAGCCCGAAGTACCAGCTGCGGCAGCACATCCTGTGGGAAGAAGCAGCGAGGACTCTGCTAGGCCTCATGGAAGGAAAGGGGACCGGAAGCCACCAGTCACCTCCACAGGGCGCCCCTGGGTATTCTCCAGTCTACTCCGGATTCCGATTCCGAGGATAGCAGCAACTTTTCAGATGTAGGTTCAAGACTCAAAGGTATAAGGAACCTACTGGGGAAGTGGGAGGGGGGGAGGGAGGTATTTGGGGAGAGTTGGGAGGAAAGGTTGAGTGGAGAATAAAATTGTTTGCAATGCAAACCTTCACAGCCACTGCATTAGGCCAATACCAACACACGCTAAGGAAATCAGTAGACAACTGCCGCGCCATCTTTTCTTTTCAACATAATAGATTGTTTTTCCTCTTGGCACATCAAAATGCTGTGGTTTCAAAACTCCAGTTTAGGGGTTTTACTAGGAATTGTATGTATTAGCAACTGTGCATGGATGGGATGTTTTTAATCTGCCAGGCCCAACAAGAATATTTTGCTAGTGAGGCCATCTTTGAGTAAATCCCTGTGGGTCTACAGATAGGGTGTATTTTTGATGGACACGGGAAAGGGCCTCTTCATAGATGTTTTTAGAAGAGAGCATTCTTATTTGTGACCTTTTATGCAAAATGACACTTCTTCATTTTTGTTCCAAGATTTCTGAGTTCAGGGTTCATCCTAATATTTCAAAACTTGTTGAACATACCTAAGGGCAACTGATTTGCCCTGTATATGATTTTATGGAGGACAGAGAACAACAATTCTACCAAACTGGCATTGGTTAGATACAAGGACAGTCAATGAGTTAAAAGAGAGAAGAAAATGTGTAGGAAGAAGATGAAGCAGCTGAAAATGAGGTGATTCTCATTAACTGTTAAGAAGCTTCCATGAAATTTATGATAAAAGGCAAAAATAATTGGAATACTAGAAATATTAATAATAGCTAATTTTATTGAGTGTTCACTATACTCTAAGTACTGGGAGAAGCAGTTGATCTCCATTTGATCTGTTAATACCCACAGCAATCTTAGGAGGAAGATTCAGGAAAATTCTATTCTTCTCTCCATTGTAGAGTCTCCGTGAGGAAACGGAGATGGTCACACAGCTGTTCTCTGGTAAAACCAGGACAGGAGCCTGTGCTGTCTGCCTGGACAGTGTGCCGCCAGGACAGACATCTTCTGAGGCACTGTCCATGTTGATATTACATAGGAAGGATGCAGGATACAGTAGCGCCATGCTCCTCCCTTTTTTGATAAGAAACAACACTGACTTTCAGTCACAGAGCTTGGGGAGCTGGCTCCTTCACTTTTTCATGGTGGCCAATTCTTTGATTGATGGTCCCTCTCCAGAGGCTCGGGCTGGCTTTGCCAACCCTCAGTTTATTCTCCGGAGGGAGCTCTGTGCTTCACTGCCCTTTGGTCCACTGTGGATTTTTTAGGCTCAACTCAAAACAAAAATGCATTTGTTGCATTAAGCACTTAGAGAGAATGTCTCTGGAAGCCTTTATTCAGAAAGAAAATCTGGATTAAGTCAACCAATACAGAAATAAGTAACAACTCCATGTAAAGCCTCGAGTGATTCTCTTGCCCACACCTGTATGATACCAGCTTCCCGTGTGTGTGTGTGTGTGTGTGTGTGTGTGTGTGTGTGTGTGT